TCACAAACTTTTTATTCTCCTTAGAGATTGCTTTTTTCTTTTGCAACTATATTTGTATTAAACTACAAAGAATCATAGAGAAGAAAAATATTTACTATATCCAACTCCCCACCTGACACCTGCACTGTAATAGGTATCTCTCATTTAACCTACTCCCCACATTTCCCCTTCCTTAGTATTCTCCCTTTTAGTAAAGGCCACAACCATTCACCTGGTTGACTCTTCTCTTTGTGTCACATTTTACACCTATAAACAAATCCTGTCAGCTCTACCTTCAAAATATATCTGAAATAGAACTACTTTTTATGGCCTGCACTGCTAAGAAACTAGTAGTTCAAGCCATCACTATCCCTTGCTCTATAATAGCTTCCAAATGGTCTTACAGCTGCTTAAGTTATAACTTTTCCATGAGATCAAAATATTTCCCCTTTAACATTTATTTTCCTTACAGGGGCCGGAGTGGTCTTTTGAAAATTTGAGTTCATGTCAGTCTCCTTGTCTTTGTGGAACCGAAGAGGAAGTCCAGAAATAAAACAAACATAAACATATATACAAAATGGTATGGTATATAATAAAATTATTATTTCAAAACAGTGACAGGGCACTGGGTATTTTGAAAATAAATTTGGATGGCTATCTGACATGCACATAAAAAATTTCCAGAAAGAGAATAAAAAATTTGCATTTTTAAAAAAGATTTATTTAGGGGCGCCTGGGTGGTTCAGTTGTTAAGTGTCTGCCTTTGGCTCAGGTCATGGTCCCAGGGTCCTGGGATCAAGCCCCCGCATCGGGCTCCCTGTTCGGCGGGAAGCCTGCTTCTCCCTCTCCCACTCCCCCTGCTTGTGTTCTCTCTCGCTCTCGCTGTGTCTCTCTGTGTCAAATAAATAAATAAAATCTTTAAAAAAAAAGTTTATTTGAGAGAGAGCGAGCACACGGGCACAAGTGTGGGGAGGGCCAGAGGGAGAGAATCTTTTTTTTTTTTTTTTAAGATTTTATTTATTTGACAGAGAGAGCACAAGCAGAGGGAGAGAGAGGGAGAAGCAGTCTTCCTGCCGAGCAGGGAGTCCGATGTGGGACTCGATCCCAGGACTGAAGGTAGCCTCTTAACCTACTGAGCCACCCAGGCATCCCTTTTTTTTTTTAAGATTTTATTTATTGGAGAGAGAACAAATGGGAGAGGGAGAAGCAGGGAGCCCTACTAGGGGCTTAATCCCAGGATCCTGGGATCATGACCCGAGCTGAAGGCAGACGCTTAACGACTGAGCCACCCAGGCACCTGAGGGAGAGAATCTTCAAGCAGACTCCCTTCTGAGCACGAAGCCAACCTCACTCAGACCCATGAGATCAAGACATGAGCTGCAACCAAGAGTCAGAAGCTTAACTGACTGAGCCACCCAGGTGCCCCCCCAATTTTGCATCTTTTAAAAGGCAGTGCTGTTAGAATATATAGATCAATGTTTATATAATTTGAGGGTAAATAGAACCAGATCATAGCACCGAATGCTGTCACCAGGAACAATGATAGCTTTTGCTGAATTAGAATGAAAGCTTCTTTTGATGGAAAAAAAAAATTCCCCTATGTCTTGCCCTACCAATGTGAAATAAAAAGACAACTTATAAACAGAGAAGAACATACAGTATATAATAAAGAAATATATGTTTAACAACATAGGGAAGTGCCTATTTTATAAAATTTAAGGGTAAAAGTCAGACTACAAAACAACACATGGTAGGGGTGCCTGAGTGGCTCAGATGGTTAAGCGCCAGCCTTGGACTCAGATAATGATCCCAGCGTCCTGGGATTGAATCCAGCATCAGGCTCCTTGCTCGGTGGGGAGCCTGCTTCTCCCTCTCCCTCTGCCTGCAGCTCTGCCTGCTTGTTCTCCCTGCACCCACCCTCCCACCTCCACAGCCCCCCACCCCCCCACCCCGCTTGCTATCTCTCTCAAATAAATAAAATCTTAAACAATTTTCCCTGGGAAAAAAATTGGAAGGAATAAATTTATATCTAGGTTATATTTTCATTTTTTTGAAATCACGTGAACACATATTAATTTTATAATCATCTTGAAGCTGAAGTTAACTATACTCACTGATGGGGAAATAGTTTTTTTCTTGGTAGGGATTGCAGTTGGAACCTGAAATCCCCTTCCTCTTGGAAATGCGCCCATGGGTCCTTGAGAGGCAAACTGGTGCAGCAGAATATCCCTGGCTTTGGCATCACATCTACCTGGGTTCCCAAGCACAGTGGCTCCCTGACCTCAGTTTCTTCCTCTGTGAAATGGGGACACCCACACCACTTCACAGGAGTTTTCTAAAAATTCAATGAGAAGACGACCCTGGCTGGTTGTAGGGGTTCTACATAAGATAATGCCACCCTCCCTGACTCAGGTGACAAACCCTACAGGGTCTATTTTCCAAAATTAGGGTTCCCACTGAATTCACACCTTGATAAGTGCCTAAATTCAAGTTGAATTTGCTCAACCAGCTGCTTCCAGAGCCAAGGGAGCTGATTGCTGCCTTCTTGCGGGATGGTGGTTCCCTGCCTGGTGGGATGGGGATCATGGTACGTTCCTCAGATGACCGAGGGGGCCTCTAACCCCACCCCCACCGTGCCCCCGCCGTCGTTACAACAAAAAGAGCCACCGCCGGGTGGGGACCTGGGCGGAGGCCTCTACTGGGTCGCACTGCCGGGGAAGCGGCGCCGAAGGGAGGGCGGGCCACTGAGCGCCTTCCCCGCTTGTGGCCCGGGAGCTTCGACGCCCACCCGCAACCGCTGGCCGCGGGGAAAGGTCCGGGATCGCGTTCTGAGGCTGGCGGGGTGCAGAGGAAATAGAGCTGCGGACTGGGGCTGATTCAGCTTCCGTCTCCAGAGCGGGGGGCAGCCCCCCTCTCTGCTCCAGAGCTGGTAGGCACACCCCTCCCGGAGGTAAAGGTGGGAGCGAGTGCAAACCTTTCAGTCTAAAGAAAGAAATCGCCAGCTCGAGGGGCCCTCCAGTCAAAGTCGCACTTGAATTCCGCCTTTTTATCTTTATCCGTGCCTGGAGGGGAAAAGTAGATAGTAGGCCGGACCTGAAAGCCCCACACCATCTTGATTTTCTACTTGCTTAGAGAATGTTCTAAATTCTAGTTGGGATCTAGAGTAAAAGGTTTCACTTTTTTTTTTCCCATCGCAAAAGGCTTAATGTCACAGATTTTGGGGGACAGGGGATGCATTTTGCTCTAATTTAGGAATAATTTAAAATACAGAAAAGTACCTGTAATTACCATTTTAAAGTTGTTGTTTTTTTTAAGATTATTTATTTATTTATTTGACAGAGAGAGACACACAGAGAGAGGGACCACAAACGGGGAGTGGGAGAGGGAGAGGCAGGCTTCCCACAGAGCAGGGAGCCCGATGTGGGGCTCCATACCAGGACCCTGGGATCATGACCCGAGCTGAAGGCAGACGCTTAACGACTGAGCCACCCAGGTGCCCCTGGATAGTTATTTATTAAGTTATATCTTCGTTCTATGTACTTTCTGTATATATAATATATTTCACAATAAAAGTAGCTAAAATGAATAACATCTATGTTTAGGAATACTATGAAATACTATACAATCAATAAGAGTATAGGGTAAACAAACAAACAAAAAAAAGAAGATATACCAATTTTCTACAATCTCTTCCAGAAAATAGAAGATAAAGGAAAACTTCCTAACTCATTAACCCCATACCAAAACCAAAGACACTGCATAATTACAGACCTCTTTCTCATGGACCTAGGTGCAAAAATCCTCAACAGAATATTAGGATTAGATTAGATTGGACTAAAATAGAATAGATTGGATTAGAAATCTAATCCAACAAAATTCCTCTCTAAAGATCATTAATACTATCCATTTCAGATTAAGGATTAGAGAATGGATATTAAATACGAGACACATTTATGTTTTTATCTATATTCTGGGTGCTTTAATAGCACTGTAATCCTATTTCTCCAGAGATGATTACATTAAAAGTTACAGTTAATCCCATGTGAGTTAACCCATTCAACCTGTATGGACCAGGTTTAGTTACGTTTTTTCTCTTCCTTTTTTTCATTCCTCAGCACAACATACTAGGTAACTTCTTTGTTTGATGGGTGAGTGAACTGAGATTTGTTTAGACAATTCAGAGATCCTAATCAAAGTAGGGGCACTCCTAGCTGGCTTACATCACTGAAATATTATGTCCAGCCACAGAGCCACCGTGCAATGATGGGAGTTCTTTAAGCATTTATTAAATTTATTTCATTAGCTCGAATACTACAGCAAACATTCAGGTCAAGTGTTGTGTGAAGCATTGAAGCAACATTTTTCAGCCCAGGGATTTTTCCAGCTGTGGGTCATTTTATTTTGTGGATTACAACCAATATTTTTAAAAATGAATGTAGGTTTGGGCGCCTGGGTGGCTCAGTCGGTTGGGCGACTGCCTTCGGCTCAGGTCATGATCCTGGAGTCACTGAATCGAGGCCCGCATCGGGCTCCCTGCTCGGCGGGGAGTCCGCTTCTCCCTCTGACCCTGCTCTCTCTCATTCTCTCTCTCAAATAAATAAATAAAATCTTAAAAAAAAAAGATTTTATTTATTTGAGAGAGAGCACATGAGAGGGGGGAGGGTCAGAGGGAGAAGCGGACTCCCCGCCGAGCAGGGAGCCCGATGCGGGCCTCGATTCAGTGACTCCAGGATCATGACCTGAGCCGAAGGCAGTCGCCCAACCGACTGAGCCACCCAGGCGCCCTCAAATAAATAAAATCTTAAAAAAAAAAATGAATGTCGGTTTAAGTATATCAAGTGCTGCTCTAATTGCAATAGTAAATGCAGTTTTGCCAACCTTCTGTTTCAAATTTTTTTATGTATGTACTGGGTCATGTTGTAAAAGGGACTGATGTTTATGAGTCACTGAGATGGGGGGTATTTGGGGTGGGAGTTCAGTAGGGCAAAGCACAAAGAGACCGGGGAGTCCAACACCTAAAAAAGAACTTAAAGCCGGCGCATTAACTCGTTCAAGGAGCGCTCACACGATAAAGAGAGTGGATTGGTCAAACCGTAAGGGTCCCGCCCACAACGCCTCATCCACCAATGGATGTGCGGCCAGGGCGGGGCGGGGCGGGGCGGGGAAGGGGCGGGACGAGCCTCGCGCGGGCTCCTTAAGTAGCGGCTGCGTGGATGCCCTAGTAGAAGATTTTACGACGGCACCGTGGGGTGGTGCGGAGCCAGACGGGAGCGACGTCGGACGCGCCGGATCTTCCTCACGGAACCATGTCGAAGCAAGAAGGAGGCGCCAACGCCTCCTCATGGGTCGTTGCTTCCCGGCGAAACTCGGCGGTGTCCCGTGCTCCGGAAAGGAGGCCGACGGAGGACCCGAATCGAAGAGGTCAGGAGGCCGGTAGGGGCAGCAGAGGTGGCGGCTGGAGGAACCCCTCCGGCCTCCAGCAACCTGTGGCCGCTGGCCTCCGAGAACCGCCGCTTTGCTTTGGATTGAATAACGTGTGGATCGGCGCTGTGATCGGTGAGTGAAAGAGGATGGGTGTGCTGGTCAGGGTCGGGGCGGAGAGTGGGTGGGGCCAGGGGCGGGGCCTGGGCAAGGGCATCCGCGCCCCACTCTCCTCGCCTCCAATCCGCTGCCACCTAATGAGATTCAGGACTTTACCTGTGATATTCGTAATACCTTCTGATGCCATAATTAGTCACTTAACACACCTTTTGCTATTTCGTGGAGACGATATTTTGGGAGAACAAACTTCGATTTAGGAAATTTTTGTGATGAAAGGTCAGGTCTTTTCACAGCTTACCCCAAATGAACAACAAAGCAGTGCTGAGTACAATCTGTGTCTTTGAGCACCATTTAGAGCCTTTAAAGAAGGTGTAGGATATTTATAGGGTTGTTCAGAGCATTGACCATATCTAGCACTTAGTTTCTTTTATTGAATATAATTTTATCTGCTGAAAAACAGGATCTTTTTCTTAGTACATCTTGAGTCTTACAAATTCATTTTTGGAAAACATTTAGAAACCATAGGAATAGAGATTTGCCCCATTTGTGGCCATTTAAACTGAGGATAAATTCCAACATTTTACCTATTAGGAATGGGAGCTAAAATTTTGTTTACCCTTTTTTAAACCTATTTTGAAAAACGATGACCACGTTTTTTTAGGCAGCTACTAAATAGAACATTAGCAGACTAATTGCTAGACCAGCTAGAGATTCACTGTTCCCTCAAGAAGGCTCAGGCTCAAAGATCTGAAGAGTGATTCTCCATAAGTGAAAGCCACTAGGTTTGCTCTAAAAACCACACTCTCAACACTTAATTCAGCACCTGTGACAGTGCAGGCCCTGTGCTAGAGAGCACCCACTTAATGTTGGTCTGGAACCACTTTTCTTCCTTAGTGTGGTAAAAAATATATATAAAAATTTAAGCATTATTAATTTTAGGTGTGCAGTGTGAGTACAGTACTGTTAACTATAAGAACAATGTTGTGTGACAGATCTCTAGAATGTTTTCATTTTGCATGACTGAAACTACCCGTTAAACAACTCCCCATTTCCCCCTTTCCCCATCCCTGGCAAATAGCATTCTACTTTGTTTCTATGTTTGATTACATTAGACCCTCAAAGAAGGTCATGCCCTATTTGCTTGTTGTGAGTGGCTTATTTCATTTAGCCTAACGTCCTCAAGGTTCATTCATGTTGCAAATGATAGAATTTCCTTTTTAAGGCTGAAATCTTCTCTAGCATATTTATACCATGTGTCTTGGTCCAGTCATCCGTTGGTAGACATTTAGGTTGGTTCCACCTCATGACTATTGTGAATAATGCTGTAATGAACGTGGGAGTATAGATGGCTCTTTGAGATAGTGGTTTTGTTTCCTTTGGATATATATCCATAAACGGAATTGCTAAATCATATGGTAGTTGTATTTTTAGTGTTTTGGGGAACCTCCGTGCCTGCACCAATTTACATACCCACCAAGAGTGCACAAGGCTTCCCTTTTCTTCACATTCTCACCAACACTTATTTCATATATTTTTTTAAGATTATTCATCTAGGGCGCCTGGGTGGCTCAGTTGGTTAAGCGGCTGCCTTCGGCTCAGGTTATGATCCTGGAGTCCCTGGATCGAGTCCCGCATCGGGCTCCCTGCTCGGCAGGGAGCCTGCTTCTGCCTCTGACCCTCCCCCCTCTCATGTGCTCTCGCTCTCTCATTCTCTCTCTCTCAAATAAATAAATAAAATCTTTTAAAAAAAAAAAAGATTATTCATCTATTTGAGAGTGAGAGCAGAGTGAGAGAGTGTGTATGGGGGGGGAGGGGCAGAGGGAGAAGCAGACTCCCCACTGAGTAGGGAGCCAGACAAAGGGGGGCTCGATCCCAGGACCCTGAGATCATGACCTAAGCCTGAAGGCAGGCACTTAACTGACTGAGCCACCCAGGTGCCCCGCCCCTCTTTGTATTTTAGCCATTCTACTAAGTATGAAGCAATACCCAGTTGTGATTTTGATTACAACTTTTAAAAAATTTTTATTTTTAAAAATAGGTCGTGGAGGGTCAAAAATAAAAGACATCCAAATTACAACAAACACGAAAATACAGGTAAGTGGTCTGCGAACTTAAATCCTCAAAGAGCATAGTTCATTTCTAACTCTAATTTCTGTTTAGCTGTTAACATACTGTGGTAATTTAGCGAAGTCGCCAAAGCTCTTCAGACTGCTATTTTCCAGGAATGGTTACATGCTGTGGTCCATTCCAGGTCTAGGTTTTGTGACTCCTGGAGGTAAAAATCTTTATAGAGATAATCTCCACTGACAAATGAGATCTTTGGGGGAATATTCATCATGCGCTTCCCGACTCTCATCCCTCAAACCTTAACCTGCTCCTGTGTTCCCAAGTCTCAGCAGCAACATCATTCACCCAGTACCCAAGCCAGAAGTCTCAGATTACTTCTCCTTCTCCTGCAACCAGTCCGTCACTGAGTCCTTTCTATTTCCTGTATTCTTAAGGAGAATCACATCATTTGGGAGTGTTCTCCCCTAACTGTCCACTCTGCTTCCAGTCTTACCCCCTCTAACCATTCTGTATTATGACCAGGGCAATAGTTCTAAAACACAAATTTTGTTCATAATTTGTTTTCTTTTCCTGCATAAAAATCTTTCATAATATCTCAGGCTCTTAAGAAGTTCAGACTTCTTAGCATGGTCCACTTGATCTGGCTCCTTTTCCTTCACTCCCTCCCCGAACTCCTCTTGAATGTCAGCAGCTGGACTCCTGCCACACTCCCTCTTATTTTAGCTGATAGAACTCCTGTTCATAAGGGAGGTCTAAGACCTCCTGCATCCCCATTCTATGTAGGTCTCTCTTCTCCATATACTCAGCATCCGTTCCAGCCTCATTTAAGAACTTTTACAGAGTTGTCTGTAAACAGTGCAAATGGCAAGCTTTGAATCACCAGCCCAAGACAGCACGTGGTGAGCAGTTTCTAGTTTTTATTGAATCAATGTGGGTATCTGAGATTATGTACATTGAAAGATGTGACTTGTAGATTCTGTCCTCCAAATGTCGTCTCAGCCTTGTTGTAAGTTGCTTCCATTACCATATACATGGTGGAAGTAGAGCATCCCCTCAAGTTAAAAGTTCATGTAAGTAACCTGACAGCGCAATCAGCCATTATTTATATAGCACATAGATTAAGCTCTACAGTTGTGTAAGATTTGCCAAAGTACTGTTTTACAGTTAAGAGGTCAGATTAATGCCTTGATCTTCTAAAACTAGTTGCTGAATTTATTCCCTAGTGGTCACGGTAGTTTTTATTTTTATTTTTTAAATTTTTTTAAGATTTTGAGAAAGTGAGGGAAAGGGTGAGGGAGAGTCTGAGCCGACTCCACACTGAGCACAGAGCCTGGCGTGGGGCTCAATCCCACAACGGTGACATCATGACCTGAGCTGAAACTGAGAGTTGGGACGTTTAACTGACGGAGCCACCCAGGCGCCCCTGTCATGGTAGTTTTTAAATGTAGATTGTCCTGCTCCTTTTCATCCAACCAGGGGCTGAATCTCAGGATAAATTTGTTGGATGTAGAATGCCCTCAAAAATTAGAACTTAAGACACTGAATGATAGCAATACTATATTTACTTTAAATTTTTATAGTGTTTGAAGTTGAGTGATTTTTGGAGGGGGGGCATGGTAAGGGGACTTCAGTCTCACCTATTTTTCCCCTGCATCTAGATAATAAAAGGTCACTCAGAAGAAGCGGAGGTCAGAATCTTTGGCAACAAGGTGATGCAGGCGAAGGCCAAAACAGTGATAGATAATCTTGTTAAAAAACAAGAAAATTACAATTCAAAACTCAGAACTGGTAAGTAATTTTTGCTTACTACAGCAATTTGAAAAATTGCATTCAGTGTTATAAGGCATTATAGTTGATGCTTTTCCTGACAACAGAGCTTCAGATTGCCATCATTAAGTCTTGTCTGTTAGGGATTTTTTTCTTTGAAATCCCAAAATACTGTTTCCTCAAATTAAAAATGCTTAATTTCTGTGATTAAGCCTAGCAGTTTCACTTTTAGCCACAGATAGGTGAAAAAAAAAAAAACTTTTAAGACACTCACTATTAATGATAGAAGGATTAGTCCTGGCCTTCTGATTTTATGGTCTTCTCCCCTGGAATGTGACTGACTTTGAAAACTGTCTAATTATTTGGTATTTAAATAATCTCTGGGGTACCTGGCTTGCTCAGTCAGAGCATGAGATTCTTGATCTTCCCCAGGTCATGAGTTCAAGCCCCAGGCTGGGCATAGTTTACTTTTTAAAAATCTCAGATTTAGGGGCACCTGCGTGGCTCAGTTAAGCATCTGCCTTCGGCTCAGGTCATGATCCCAGGGTCCTGGGATCGAGTTCCGCATCGGGCTCCCTGCTCGGCGGGAAGCCTGCTTCTCCCTCTCCCACTCCCCCTGCTTGTGTTTCCTCTCGCTGTGTCTCTCTCTGTCAGATAAATAAAATCTTTAAAAAATAAAATAAATAAACCTACCCTTTAAAAAAATCTCAGTTTTAATTAAAACAACAAACCCAAAACTCAGACCTGCTTGGACTAGAGAAAAAGCCATTATTGAGGCATTTCCAGAAGCAATGTGGAAGTAAAAGCAGCATGTGGGTTCAGATGGCAGCATTACCTCTTAGTGTTTCTTGGGAAAGGAACTCTAGGAAGCCTTTAAGACTCTTCATCTGTTAACCTGGGGTGACATCTGCCTCACAGGATTATTGTAAAGGTTAACATGTGATTTATTAGCAAACACTAGGCTCATTATTTTCCTTCTCTTCAATAAATGTATTTTCCGTCTCCTAAATCTGGTAACTGACAAACCATGACTAGTATTGTCATAGCATTGTAGTACTAAAACCCACATTTTCTATTTTAAGCATTATTGTCTCTTTTACACACAAAAGAATAAAGTGGTTTGGGGGAAATTTGTACAATTAGGATTTGTTTTGAAACTAATTCTGAAAAAATATTTTAACAGATATTATTGCATTCCAACCTTCTGTTGGAAGAGATGTAAAGACAGATAGTAATGTTACAGAGAATCAACCATTGATTGATTGGGATCAAATTCGAGAAGATGCTTTGAAATGGGGGAAAAAAAAGTGGGAAGGTTAGTGCTATATTCTAACATTTACATGTGGTATTGATGTACCTCTTGAGGTGTCTTTTAACCTCTTGAGTTTTTTATTCTTTAAAATGTTTCTTATTTCTAGTAATGAAATCAATTAGAAAAATGATAGTAAAATATGTGCTGCAGTTAGTCTCTAGGGCAAGATTTGTTTCTATGTTGTCTGCTGTAATCTATGCTATAAGTAGGAAATTAAAATATTATATTTTGTCTTATTTGAGGTAACTCACAGCAGGAGTTTAATAAAATTGAAAGAAAATCGAGCATAAGGGGAAAACGAAGACAATAAACATGCCAACCATAAGTAGTTTAACATTATTGGCTATGGTTGAGCAAAAATTGATCCTGGAGTGTCCTGGCTGATAGGGGCAAAATAAAAAGGGAAAACCATTTAATAAGAAAGAAATACGTAGTTGAGAAGAGCGGGGTTTTTTCATTTGCTTTAATTTTAAATGAGAATCTCACCTGGAATTATTGCGGAGTGTAATGTTTCATGTCACATTGACTAATTTTCAGGGTAAATTCAGGTGCTAATTCTGGCTATCAAAGTGAGGCAGCAATACATTTATTAAAACAGTGATAGATATTAACAATGATTAATTCAGTGGTCATTCTATCTGCATGTTGTTACCAGTGCCACCTTGACAGTACATGTAGTGGGGAGATTTGGAATGGGGGGCCAGAAAAAGGATTTAAGTTTGGAGGAAGTATGCTAGGCATGTAAGAAAACAAAGTGGAATAAGGAATATTCTATTCCTAAACAGAAATGGGATGGACCTTCAAAGAAAAGAAAAAATCAGTCTACCGTGTTTGAGAGATTCATCAGTTGGGATGATTGTAAAGCATACTTTTCTTTTATATTAAACTTAAATTATTAAGGGTCTCTTTCTTGGGTAAAAAATGTACTCAAAAGGCAAACCAAAACAGGAGATCTCTTAGAGACTAGCATAAGCCTGACTGGCAAAGAACAACTATCTAAAATTGTAAGGTGAATTTAATAAATACTTTAGTTTGATTTCTGTTACTTTGAATAAGTTTCAATGAAATGTAAATTCTGATAATTTATCAAAGTTTTAATTTTCATCTTTGTCCCAGATTTACCACCAATTAAGAAAAACCTTTACGTGGAGTCAGAGGCAACAAGTTCAATGTCACAAGTGCAAGTAGACATTTGGAGGTGGGTATTTTATTTAAGTATTTGTATAGTTGTTACTCATTAGGGAAACATTCAAAGTGATTGCATTTGAAGACTACACCTCTGGTATTCACATGAACTTGGTTGCATCCTACATGATATTTTAGAGCATTGCTATCCAATAGGCCTTTCTGCAAAGATGGAAAAAGGGCAATATTTGTGTCTAATAGAGTAGTCACTATCTATATATAGCTATTGAATACTCAAAATATGGCTAGTATAATTGAGGAACTAAGTTTCCCATTTAAAATTTTAAAAAATAAAATAAAATTTTAAGACTCATGTGGTTAGTGCCTACTGTATTGGACAGCACTTTTAGAATTCTACAACTGTTGAAAATCATAAGTTGATTTGATGCATTTCTTATTCTTCAGTGCTTACTATCTGGAATTAAAGGTCCTAACAGCAACATTTTTTTTTCTATTGAAGTCAGTTATAAAACTAAGTATGGTAAAAAAAAAAAAAAAAAAAAGTATGGTATAGCAGAAAGAACAGTTATGCCAGGGTTGGGGTAGGGCTCAGATTTTGGATAAGCAACTAATGATCACCTGTCATATGAGAATAATTCCCATTTGGCAGGATTGTTGAGGATAAGTTAAGAAAATATGTGTGGAACATTGTAGGGCTTTGTGTCAGCCAAGTCTGATTTGAATCATGAAATGTGTGATTTTCAGGCTCCGTTCTTTACATTTCCATGAAATTTCATTGGCCCATTCATACAATGTAACTTTTTCCCTTTCTGATAACTATTCTGATAAAAAAAAAAGATGGGCTCACTTCTATTTCTTTGTTATTACATTTTACTGTAGATTTACAGTTACAGTTGTAGTTGGATTTCTTGATATGATGAATTAATGCTGGCAAAAATTTCTGGCTTAGGGAATAAAGTGACCAAAGCCGCTAAGATTTGTTCTATTTTTCCTTAAAGGAAAGAAAATTATAATATAATGTGTGATGACTTGAAAGAAGGGGAGAAGCGTCGTATACCCAATCCTACTTGTAAATTTGAGGATGCTTTTCAGTGTTATCCTGAGGTTATGGAAAACATTAAAAAGGCAGGCTTTCAAAAGCCAACACCAATCCAGGTATGCTTGTTTGCTTTCTTGCTTTTTTTTTTTTTCTTTAATTCCAATATTTTACTGACAGTTTTTCTCCCCAAACAGTATCTGATTTTTTTAAAAGATTTTATTGAGAGAGTACAAGTGTGGGGGTTTGGGGGTGGGGAGGGCAGAGGGAGAAGCGGGAAGCCCACCATGGGGCTGCATCCCAGGACCCCAGGATCATGACCCGAGCCCAAGTCAGACCCTTCACTGAGCCATGCAGGCGCCACAAGATCTGATTATTAGAAGTTAAATCACCAGGGAGGAACTCTCCCTTGTGAGCACTCCCCTAGAGCCCCCCCCCCCCCCTCCCGTTCCACCAGTGCCTAGCACTCAAAATGTGTTTGTTGAAAGAAGTTTGGGCTTAGGAGAGGAGGGGGCGTTTGACTAAAAGATGCAGCTTTTAATTTTAATGTTAATCTTTTCTTTTTTTAGTCGCAGTCATGGCCGATAGTTTTACAAGGTGTAGATCTTATAGGAGTAGCCCAAACTGGAACCGGGAAAACACTGTCGTACTTAATGCCCGGATTTATACACTTGGATTCACAGCCTGTGTAAGAATTTCTACAGCTGGGTTCTCTTTATAGGGGGTTAATAGATATGGATACCAAAAATGCAAATTTCTTTTTTTTTGGGTCTGTTGCATTGGTCAAAAAATAATGCCAAGCCTCAGGGAAATGCACTTGTACCATGCTGGTGAGAGTATAAATTGTCAAAGCATTTTTAGGAAGCAATAGGTAGTCTTTTTTAAAGATTTTATTTATTTGACAGAGAGAGACACAGTGAGAGAGAACACAAGCAGGGGGAGTGGCAGAGGGAGAAGCAGGCTTCCCGTGGAGCAGGGAGCCCGATGTGGGGCTCGATCCCAGGACCCTGGGACCATGACCTGAGCCAAAGGCTAAGCCGACAGCCCCCCAAGCACCCCACAATAGATAGCCTTAATAGTGAATACTAGAAATGTTTGAATTATCACGTCCATTACAATTGTGTGAGAGAATGTTGGCCGTGTTAAATGAAAAGGCTGGTATCGGCCCTTGGGATTTTTTTGTGTGCAACGCTCTTCAGTATTTTTCTGTGTTTTGTGGTGAATGCGTGTGACTTTTCACATTCATTCCTACAAATTCTGAAAGCACTGAATGAATATACTATGTATCTGAGTCAGGTACTTTAATATTTTCTCTCTAAAGAATTAGAGGAAAAAGGAGTGGACCTGGCATGTTAGTCCTCACACCTACACGCGAGTTAGCACTTCAAGTGGAAGCTGAATGTTCCAAGTATTCATATAAAGTCCTCAAAAGGTAAGTCATTTCTTTGTCCATTCTTGCAGCAGCTATTTAATAAGTCAGTTTTATACATTCTCCCCATTATTTTTCACATACGTAGGGAATCTGAATGGCTTAGCATGGGTCAGGCATTACTCCAGTCCAAATCAATGGTAGCCAGGGCAGTGAGGTCAAGTAACAGTGATGCAAATATGGCTCTTTATAGGACACATCACTGTGGGTTGACAGGTGTGGATAGTTCTTAGAATGGAGCAAATACTACCCAGAAGGTATCTGATACTTTCTTACATACTTTGTACTCTTATTATTTTATACCCAAAATACTTTGGTTGGTTGGGATTTTGCGTTGTGATGGGACATTTCCTTGCCTGAACATGAACCTCTTTTTTTTTAAGTGTGTGTATATATGGCGGTGGAGATAGAAATGGACAAATACAAGATCTGAAGAAAGGAGTAGATATTATTATTGCAACTCCTGGAAGACTGAATGATCTACAAATGAATAACTTTGTTAACCTCAGAAATGTAACCTACTTGGTAATCATGGAATAAGGGTTTGGGATACTAGGAGGAAGAACTGAACTCTTACTAAGTTCTTTTTTATTTTTAAGTAATCTCTGCACCCAACGTGGGTTTTCAAACTTACAACCCTGAGATCAAGTGTCACATGCTCTGACTGAGCCCAGCTGGGCACTCCAGAACTGAATTCTTATTAAAATAGTCCTTTAGAATGGTTGTCCATTTTATAATGTTTTCAAATCCTAGGGATATTTTGCATTCCCTCTAGTATGTTAAAATAAGGATTTTAAGAATTCTATTTTAATGTTTTTTATAAATGTTGGAGAATATAGAGAAGTATAAAAGATTAAAATCCATGTGGTTTGTTTTTGTTTTTTTTTTTTTTTACTTAAAGATTTATTTACTTTAGAGAGCACATGCAAGCAGGGGGAGGGGAGGGGCCAAGGGAGACGATCTCAAGAAGACTCCCACACTGAGCCTAGAGCCTATCATGGGGCTCAGTCCCACAGCTCCAAGATCATGAGCTGAGCCAAAATCAAGAGTCAGATGCTCACACAACTGAGCCACCCAGGCACCCCTCCACGTGGATATTTTAGACACTTAGTTTTTCATTAGATCAATCTAGAAACTGTTAGCCAACTTAAAAAATCAAGTCACTCTGTTACAACTCTAGATCACTTTGTCCTGAAGAAACGAAAATAGTGGCTTAAATAGGGGAAATGAGAAAAAAGTTACCTTACCATAGTATTAGGTTCATAAAGAGCGTACTTCCCATATCTAATGTAGCCACTATCATTTCTGATGCAGGTTTTAGATGAAGCCGACAAGATGCTAGATATGGGATTTGAACCCCAGATAATGAAGATTTTATTAGATGTGCGCCCAGACAGGCAGACTATTATGACAAGGTAGGTGTATGCCTAACTGCTAGTTTGTAAAATAGAAATCAGTGGATTGGACTCCACCTTTTTTTTTTATTTCCCCAGAGGATTTTAGAGCATTACCTGAAGGTATCTTGAGATCCTCAGGTGAAAGACATGTCATCACTTAGTATAGCAACTCGGTGTAATTGTAACTGATTATTGGGTTTCCTAAGTTACAGATAGAGATTTTTTATTTTGTAACAGATTTTTTAAAAAAGATTTATTTGCCAGAGAGAGAGTGAGCAAGAGAGTACAAGCAGGGGGAGCTGCAGAGGGAGAGGGAGAAGCAGGCTCCAGCTGAGCAGGGAGCCCGATGCGGGGCTCAAACCCAAGACCTTGGGATCATGCCCTGAGCTGAAGGCTTAACCGCTTAACTGACTGAGCCACCCAGGCACCCCACAGAGATTTCTATACAAACTTAAGGGGGACCTCTCCCTCGAGGGGAGATTGTGTTTGTGTTTCGTAGTGGTGGCCTCACATTTGAATGATCACCTGCCCTTAGAGATAAACCTTTGATGACTGAGTACCTTTTTGCCCAAGATAAAACTGAGAAACAATGATTGTTATTTAAATGCAGAGTGATCTATAGACTATTATCTCCTGGGCTTATATATCCTACATGTCATTAATATAAAAAAGAGTAGTATATAATTGGGGAAATAACATTAAATTTCCTCATTTGTTTTCTTTTTAATACCACCCTCATTTGTTTTTTTACTAATCTTTCCATTATTGTAATTACTGTGAAAGTGTAAAGGTAGGTGATTACTTTCATAATATATATGGATGAAGAAACACTTTCATCAGTACACTTAATATGCCTTTATTTCGCATAAGCATTTGATTTTTTGCCTGCTGACAATGCTGACCAAAAATACTAGGGATTTTTTTGGTTTTTCTTTTATGAAGGCCAAGAAAAAACTAACCCTTGAATTCATTTTAGATTAGAATTTAGGTTAGAATTTAAGGTATAGATCTCCTTCACCTTTGGTTTATAAACCTGTTTTGTTTTTATTGTTGTATTTTTAAAGATTTTATTTATTTATGGGTGCCTGGGTGGCTCAGTTGGTTAAGCAACTGCTTCGGCTCAGGTCATGAACCTGGAGTCCCTGGATCGAGTCCCGCATCGGGCTCCCTGCTCAGCAGGGAGTCTGCTTCTCCCTCTGACCCTCCCCCCTCTCATGTGCTCTCTCTCATTCTCTCTCTCTCAAATAAATAAATAAAATCTTAAAAAAAAAAATTTTTTTTTTAATTTAAAAAGGTTTTATTTATTTATTTGACAGAGAGAGACACAGAGAGAGAGGGAACACAAGCAGGGGGAGTGGGAGAGGGAGAAGCAGGCTTCCCTGCAGAGCAGGGAGCCCGATGCGGGGCTCGATCCCAGGACCCCGGGATCACAACCTGAGTCTAAGGCAGACGCTTAATGACTGAGCCACCCAGGCACCCCTAAACCTGTTTGTTAAACTTAAAGGTTTCATGTAGTAGCTTTGCTATAGTTGAGCAGTTCTTTATGAAGTACACATTTTCTGTAAAGTCTCCCTTATTTAAAAGTACTCAATTTGTCTTTCATGGGTAGTCCGATTCATAGCATTCTTAGGGAAACTTAGTAATATTTGATTTATAATAAAATTTTAACTTTTATATCATGTTTATTTCCAGTGCAACATGGCCATATGCTGTCCGTCGACTTGCACAGACTTACTTGAAAGAGCCAATGATTGTATATGTTGGTACTTTGGATCTAGTGGTAAGCTTGTTTTTTATTACTATTATAAAAAATATTCATGAAAGTTTTAATTACTTTGTTTTGGCATAGCTACTCTGCCCCCTCCTTAATTAATTAGAGAAGACCCTAGATACATATGATTTTATTCATAAATACTTCAGTATACATTAAGACTAACTTTAACATAATTACTGTACTGTTATCTCACATCTAAAATTTTAATAATCCCTTAATACCATCAAATATCATTCCTTATTCCTATTTTCCTGATATCTCATTTTATTTAATCCTGTTAAAATCAGGTTCTTTCGGGTGCCTGGGTGGCTCAGTTGTTGGGGCATCTGCCTTCAGCTCAGGTCATGATCCCGGGGTCCTGGGATCGAGCCGAGCCCCGCATCGGGCTCCCTGCTCAGCGGGAAGCCTGCTCCTCCCTCTCCCACTCCCCCTGCTTGTGTTCCCTCTCTTGCTGTGTTTCTTTCAAATAAATAAAATCTTAAAAAAAAAATCAGGTTCTAAAAGGGCAACATAGGTGCATGTATGTAATTTTGGTGAAGTCATGATGGATCATTGGGTCCAGATGTCAGTAATTATACAACTTATGAAGGTCTCTCTTATATATCTCCTCCATTACAAAGTTATCTGGCCTTTCACTTAATTGAAATCAACCTTTCAATTAATCATTATTGAAAAAAATGACCTTTTACTTAATCACCAGTAATAGTGATAGGTCATTGCCTAAGTTCATTTCATTAAATTTCATGAAAAGTGAGGATAGATGTCATTCTTTACTTTCATTGAATGCTATTAAAACCTTTTATCTCTGGGTTAAAAAGTTGTATCAGTGATATTATGAAATTTTTTTTATATAGATTTTTTTTTAGAGAGAATCTTTTTCTTTTTCTTTTTTAAAGATTTTATTTATTTGAGAGAGAGAGAATGAGAGACAGAGAGCACGAGAGGGAAGAGGGCAGAGGGAGAAGCAGACCCCCCGCTGAGCAGGGAGCCCGATGCGGGACTCTATTCCGGGACTCCAGGATCATGACCTGAGCCGAAGGCAGTCGCTTAACCAACTGAGCCACCCAGACGCCCTCTTTTTTTTTTTATTTTTAAGGATTTTACTTATTTATTTGAGAGAGAGAATGACAGACGGAGAGCACGGGAGGGAAGAGAGTCAGAGGGAGAAGCAGACCCTCTGCTGAGCAGGGAGCCCGATATGGGACTCGGTCCCGGGACTCCAGGATCATAACCCGAGCCGAAGGCAGTCGCTCAACCAACTGAGCCACCCAGGCGCCCGATATTATGAAAATTTGCATTAAGTTGTCAAAATCATAAATGGGAACTCTTGTGTCCTAAGCTAATCATCTTCCTTTATTGAAAGGACTGTACCCAAATTCATGATGAAATTTTGGCCTTACTTCAGTTTTCTTTTCCAACAATAGTAACCAATTACTTTTTTTTTTTTTTAAAGATTTATTTATTTATTTGAGAGAGCAAGAATGAGAGAGAGTGCATGAGAGGGGGGAGGGTCAGAGGGAGAAGCAGGCTCCTCGCCGAGCAGGGAGCCCGATGCGGGACTCGATCCCAGGACTCCAGGATCATGACCTGAGCCGAAGGCAGTCGCTTAACCAACTGAGCCACCCAGGCGCCCCAGTAACCAATTACTTTTAACACACTGCCAAGCATTCGTTTCCAACTCAGCTTCGGTGAATGAGCAAGAAGTGAAAGGCTGAGCTACAAATCTTTGAGTAGAGGTCATTTTGCAAGGACCTGCCTCTTTCTTGTTAGCAGTTTGTTAAAACTTAACCAGGGATAGGAATAGATGTATTCTGAGCCAGTGTATAGGGTTTGCCTCTCAATTTTGATGTACTGTGATCTTTATTCCTTTAGGCAGTAAGTACCGTGAAACAAAACATAATTGTCACCACCGAAGAAGAGAAACGCTCTCATATCCAAACTTTTCTAGAAAGCATGTCTCCCAAAGACAAAGTCATAGTGTTTGTCAGCAGAAAAGCTGTGTAGGTATTTTTTTCTTTTACATCCTTAAATCATCAAATTGATTTGTTTAGCATTTGCTCTATTTGCATACTAATTTCAAAAGGGGTATGTATGTCTTATAGTATGTTAATTCGGTCTTTTGCTAATAGAAGTAAAACTAGTGGATTGATAGTGATATTAGAAGAAGCACTTCAGATCACTGACTTCATCTTTTGCTTCAGTGCTGACCACCTATCAAGCGACCTGATTCTGCGACATGTATCAGTGGAATCCCTTCACGGTAATAGGGAGCAGAGTGACCGAGAGAGGGCATTAGAAAACTTTAAAACAGGTACATTTATACAGGTAGTATTGGTTGCTGTTAAAGGGTACAAGGCCTGGGCATGGCTGAGTGACAACACCTTTTCATGGAGCCTATTTGTAAGATCTGTCCTCAGCTTGCAGATCCCAAAACTATGCTTGTTAGAACTCTGAATATTAATCAGATCTCCAGAACTATCCAAACTCAAAGAGCAAATATTTAGACCTGGATATCAAGGCAATTTGCAATGGGGTTATTTTCTTTAATTTACCTGAGAGGCATAGATCTTTGTGACATGGTTCAGCTGATTCAGGGATGGGTTGCTGAGCCAGGGTATATATTGTGTTGTAACCCACCAGCAGTTTAAAGGCTAGAAATGCCCCTTTCTCATTTTCACTCTCTGAAGTGTTTTAATACTAAAAGTAATAATGGCTCACCTAGATAGTGGGGGGAAATTATACTTTTCTGCTATGTCTTGGGTTGGTTTATGCCAGAATATATTCTTTTGGTTTTATTCTTTAGGTAAAGTAAGAATATTGATTGCCACCGACTTAGCATCTCGGGGTCTTGACGTCCTTGATATCACACACGTCTATAATTATGATTTCCCCCGGAACATCGAAGAATACGTGCACAGAGTAGGGCGCACTGGAAGAGCAGGGTAAGTCAGCATAGTCTACCTCTGAAAGAAGCCAACTATCATTACTCCCTTCACAGACTGTTCTTAGCTAGAAAACGTTTTTTTTTTCCTATTGCCCATGAATTGTCTGTGCCACCCGCTTTGCTCCTTTATCCCTGTCTTAATTGGCCTGTTGCAGATTCAGCCAGACCCCTCTGATTGGCTGCAGCTGTTTCTTACTCCGCTCTGCTTTCTCTCTGCAGAGTCACACGGAGCTATACCCAGTGGTTCCTCTATTGTCCCCGCGTAAGAGGGCCTTTCTCCTCATTGAGAGCACTACTATCAAATCCCCTGCAAAACGCTGTTTAAACAGCTCCAGATTATTGAGATTCTAAATAGCTGTTTGAGTGATGCTAACTTCTAATACATATTTGGGCTTAAAAGTTGAGGTTTGGCTATTTTTAGTGTTTTGCTAATGAATCATGAGTATAAATCAAAAATCAAATTAACATATGAATTCGTTCCCCCCACCCCACCCTTTTGTAGGAGAACTGGGATATCTATTACTCTTCTCACTAGAAATGACTGGAGGGTTGCTGGAGAGTTAATTAATATTCTGGAAAGAGCGCGACAGGTGATTATACAACTCAGAACTCTACCTTGTATCACTTTTCTAAAGTTCAAATAATTTCATTGACTCCAAGTACCGGGGCTTACTGTGTGTCAGGGAAAACAGATGTTAAGCATGTTATGAGGGCCATAGCGTGGCAAAGACAAGGAGCTGTAATACAGAATTGGGGAACCCAATCTAATGGGGGTAAGCATCAGTGGAAATAGTACTGTGGAAGAAGCCGGTGGAGTGGAGGTTGGGAGAATTGTACAAGAACGGGATGCACGTTCCAGCTGGGGAACACATTCAGGCCCTGGGGACAGAATGCTGCAGAACGTGGCACCAGTTAAGGCATGTGCAGAGCACTGGGAAGCAACTGAAGGGCCATACATATGCGCAGGGAGTGGTAGCATCAGGGGAGTTTAAGATCAGTCTGGTTTTCGAGCTTGGAAGATTTCAGAGTTTAACACGCAAGGAGATACACTTCATTGTTGGAAAGATGTCATGGAATTGGGAAGGTTCTGTGACTGAGATTTGGAGGTATTTTAGCATATTATAGAAAAGCTGTTACTCTGAAAGAAAAATCTCATTCCTAATAACACATTTAATGTTTCAGAGTATCCCAGAGGATCTTGTGGCAATGGCCAAGAGGTACGAGGTGAATAAACTGAAAAAAGAAATGGAGAAAAAATTGGGGAAACCCCAAGGAAAACCCCAGAAGTTTTATTATTAATGCCCTTGTTGAAAAGTGGTACCAGCCTCCTGAGAGGAGGTAAATAACACTTTCAAATTTTGGACTTTCGGGGCGCCTGGGTGGCTCAATTGGTTGGGTGACTGCCTTCGGCTCAGGTCATGATCCTGGAGTCCCAGGATCAAGTCCCGCATCGGGCTCCCCGCTCAGCGGGGAGTCTGCTTCTGCCTCTGAACCTCTCTCCTCTCGTGTTCTCTCTCTCTCATTCTTTCTCTCAGATAAATAAAATCTTAAAAAAAAAAATTCAAATTTTGGACTTTCCAATGCCTGTTTTCCTTAACTACACTGTTAGTGTTTATTGCAATCGGTATTCTCTAAGAGTCATTAACATAATTTATTCAGGGTAATTCTTTACCTGTTACCTAAGTTCCAGTTAATATCTTTTTTTAATTTTAATTTTTAATTTTTAATTTTTTAAAAAAAGATTTTATTTATTTGAGAGAGAGAGTGAGAGAGAAGGAGCATGGGGAGGGGCAGAAGCAAACTCCCCGCTGAGCAGGGAGCCCGACATGGGGCTCGATCCCGGACTCGGGATCGTGACCTGAGCTGAAGGCAGACGCTTAACTGACTGAGCCACCCAGGTGCCCCTAATATCTTTTTTTAAAAGATTTTATTTATCCATTTGTCAGGGACAGAAAGAGCAAGCAGGTGGGGAGGGGCAGAGGGAAAGGGAGAAGCAGACTTCCCGCTGAGCAGGGAGCCCAATGCGGGGCTTGATCCCAGGACCCTGGGATCATGACCTGAGCCGAAGGCAGCCGCTTAACGACTGAGCCACCCAGGCGCCCCCAGTTAATATCTTCTTTAGAGTTAGACGTATTCAAGAGTTGAGAAAATAAAAAGTTGTACAGAAATCTCATTAAGCATGTGATGGAGTTGGTAGAGGTGTTAAGTTGGTAGAACCTCTGCGCAATTTGGTAATGTATCAATTATAAATACATAATTCCTTTTCAGCAATTATTTTAGGGATGTATTCTATAAATACGTATTCTGCATATGTAAAGATTTACTATAGCAATATTTGTAGTAGGAAAATACTATAACCTAAATGTCCAGTAGGGGACCATATAAATAAATTCTGGAGGAGTTTTTTTTTTTAACACTTCCATACATCACCCAGTGCTGCTCACACAAGTGTCCTCCTTAATCCCCATCACCTATTTCCCCATCCCCCCATCCACCTCCCCTCAGGTAACTATCAGTTTGTTCTCTATAGAGTCTATTTCTTGGTTTCTCTCTCCCCCCCCCCTTTGTTTTTGTTTCTTAAATTCCACGAGTGAAGTCATACAATATTTGTCTTTCTCTGACTTAATTTCACTTAGTGTAATACTCTAGCTTGGAGGATATATTTTTGCAAGTCATATCTGATAAGGGGCGAGTACCTATAATACAGAGAACTCCTAAAACAATAAAAATAATCTGATTAAAAAATGGGCAAAGGACTTGGATATACATTTCTCCAAAAGATATACAAATGGCCAACAAAGATGCTCAGCCTCACTAGTAATCACTGGGGAAATGCAAATCAAAACTGCAATGAGGGGGCGCCTGGGTGGCTCAGTTGTAAAGTGTCTGCCTTCGGCTCAGGTCATGGTCCCAGGGTCCTGGGATTGAGCCCCGCATCGGGCTCTCTGCTCAATGGGAAGCCTGCTTCTCCCTCTCCCAATCCCCCTGCTTGTGTTCCCTCTCTCTCTCTCGCTGTGTCTCTGTCAAGTAAATCTTTAAAAAAAAAACAACTGCAGGGGCGCCTGGGTGGCTCAGTCGTTAAGCCTCTGCCTTCGGCTCAGGTCATGGTCCCAGGGTCCTGGGATCGAGCCCCACATCGGGCTCCCTGCTCGGCGGGAAGCCTGCTTCTCCCTCCCTCACTCCTGCTTGTGTTCCTTCTCTCGCTATGTCTCTGTCAAATAAATAAATCTTTAAAAAAAAAAAAAACTGCAATGAGATTGCCTCACACACATTAGGATGGCTCCTATAGAATAGCTACTATGAAACAATGGGTTTTGGCAAGGATATGGAGAAATTGGAACCCTTCTGCTCTGTTGGTGGGAATGTAGGGTGCATCTACGATGCAAAATATAGCAGTTGCTCAAAAAATTAAATATAATCCAGCCACTCCACATCTGAGTATAAATCCAAAAGAACTAAAAGCAGGGTCCTTAAGAGATATTCGTATATCCATGGTCGTGGCAGCTTTATTCATAATAGCCAACAAGTGAAGGCACACCAGGCATGAATGAATGGATAAACAGATGGGCCTATCAAGGGGAATTCTGACCCAAGGTACAACATGGGTGAACCTTAAGGCCACTATACTGAGTAAAATAAGCCCGTCAAGGACAAATACTGTGTAATTCCACTTACCTGAGGTACCTAGAGTAATCAATTCACAGAAGTAGAATGGTGGTTTTTAGGAGCCAGTGAAAGGGGGAATATGGGGAGATATTTAATGGGTATAGATTTTCAGTTTTGGAAGATGAAAAACTTCTGGAGGTTGGTTGTGGAACAATGAATATACTGGACCCAAACTATATTTAAATGGTCAGGATGGCAATTTTTTTTATTAATCACCATACATTACATCATTAGTTTTTGAAGGATGGCAAATTTTATGTGAATTTTATCACAGTTTAAAATTCAAAGGCTTGGGAACAATTTACATTTTTTTCTTTTTCAGATCTCAAGATATATGGAAGTATGGGAAACATGCTGGCACTATGAAGAAATAAGTGATTCTTAAAATAATAGTGTTTAAAAATGTAGAATTCAGGGCGCCTGGGTGGCTCAGTTGGTTAAGCGACTGCCTTCGGCTCAGGTCATGATCCTGGAGTCCCGGGATCGAGTCCCGCATCGGGCTCCCTGCTCAGCAGGGAGTCTGCTTCTCCCTCTGACCCTCCTCCCTCTCATGCTCTCTGTCTCTCATTCTCTCTGTCTCAAATAAATAAATAAAATCTTTAAAAAAAATAAATAAATAAATAAAATAAAAATAAATAAAAAATGTAGAATTCAGTATTTTATACTTTAATAAAATCAAAAGTATTTAAACTTGAGTTAAATTTTTTTTCATGGATATTAAGGAATGTAGCATTTTTTCACTTTTTACTATCCTTATTTAAGAATGTAAATTTTATCTCCTGTAATGTTGTTATATTAAGGTCAGTCTTAAGAGTTGAAAGCCTGTTCAGATGTCATGGCAGTGAAAGATACCGTTAACAAATAAATGTTTTTTTATGATAAAAAGATAAGATGATCACTGTCTTTTTGATTAGCCCTTTAATTTTGTTAATAGTACTTTATTTGGGAGTACTTTTCTTAAGGGATTACGCTTCACCTACTTCTAAATGAAACAATAAAAGGATTTCATTAGACAAATAGGCAACAGCTCTTAAGTTTCAGCCCATAGGCTAAAATAAATCCTAGGAAAATAATTTCATTTTCATGAAAGCTTCTTTGACTAATCACATTCTCCAACTTCAGTTTTGAGTAGTTTTCTGTTCTATACATGATAAGTATTAACACTTAATATTTATATAGCTATTTGTATATAATTGATTAGGGCTTCACCTCATCTTACACCATAATAGCTTCCTGGCATAGGGATAGGAAGATTAATAACAAAGGAAAAAGGAAAAGTAGAAATGAATCAAAATGGAGTTCAGTGAAAACCAACAGCTGATTCTTAAAGCTGACTGATGAATTAAGTTTCTCGTAAGTCTGAGTGGGGAGGAGAGAACAGCTCTCCTGCTCTTTAGAGATCTAGAGGCATAAAAATTTAAAGGCCATGTATAACCCTATATCAAAAAATTCACCAGCTTGACTATATTTTCCTAAGTCACCAAAAATAACCCAAGTAGTTAAGCTGACTAGACAAACATGAATGGTAATCAAGGGCCTTCAAGAGGGTTAAATCTTGTGCAGAACATTAAAAAGGATGAGTCTTGGGGCGCCTGGGTGGCTCAGTCGTTAGGCGTCTGCCTTCGGCTCAGGTCATGATCCCAGAGTCCTGGGATCGAGTCCCGCATCAGGCTCCCTGCTTGGCAGGAAGCCTGCTTCTCCCTCTCCCACTCCCCCTGCTTGTGTTCCCTCTCCTGCTGTCTCTCTGTCAGATAAATAAAATCTTTAAAAAAAAAAAAGGATGAGTCTTCAAATCATTCTATAAAGCTAGCATAACTGATACCAAAACTGAGAAATAGCGTTATCTCAAGCCGTTCTCAATGCTGTGCATAAATCTCTAGAAAATAACTGCAATCTGAATGCTGCAATGGAATAAAATGTACATGCTAGAAAGGATGAGGCAGTTCTATGCATACAGATAGAATGATCTCAAAGTGAAAAATGTTTTCTTAGACTATATGTACGCACAGAAGCATATTCTTAGAAGGATATGTAAGAAGTATTAGTAATTGCCTCTGGGAAGGCAAATGTATGTCTGAGTAATTGGACAATTGATACTTTTCATTGCTCTTAGGTACTTTTTGAGTTGTTTTTGGCATTTGCATGTATCACCTGTCAGAAAAAAACTGAATAGTAATGAAATATGTTCATAACAAATAGTGCAAACACCTATCAAAGTGTGTAAGAACTAATTTTTTAATAAAAATTATAAACAAGCATTAAAATAAGTAAAAAATGGCTAACATTAATATGGATTATAGACAGGTTTTCAGCAAAGGTGGCCTAGGCTAATAGCTAAACTGTCCTTACCAAAATGCAGGATTAAATATAATTAAATATGGGGTTTCTTTTCGAGGTGATGAAAGTATCCTGGAATTACATAGAGGTGATTGGGTTTTTTTTGTTTTTTAAGATTTTGTCAGAGAGCACAAGTGGGGGAGCGGCAGGTAGAGGGAGAAGCAGGCTTCCCGCTGAGCAAGGAGCCTGATGCAGAGCTCGATCTCAGGACTCTGGGATCATGACCCGAGCCAAAGGTAGACGCTTAAGGACTGAGCCACCCAGGTGTCCCCATAGAGGTGATTGTTTAACACCACTTTTTGAATATACTAATAACCACTGAATTACACCTTAAACGGGTGAATTTTATGTTAGTGAATTATATTTCAAAAGAGCTCTTTATTTTTTTCAGAGTGGGAATGGAGGTGAGGGGCAGAAATTTTTTTTTTTAGGGAGTGGGGAGGGAGGAGCAGAGGGAAAGGGAAAGAAAGAATCTTTTTCTTTTTTATAATTTTTTTTTTAAGATTTTATTTATTTATTTGACAGAGAGACAGAGAGAGAGGGAACACAAGCAGGGGGAGTGAGAGAGGGAGAAGCAGGCTTCCCGCTGAGCAGGGAGCCTGATGTGGGGCTCGATCCCAGGATCCCAGGATCATGACCTGAGCCGAAGGCAGACGCTTAACGACTGAGCCACCCAGGTGCCCCTCTTTTTCTTTTTTAAAGATTTATTAGAATGTAATGAGCAGGGGTGCCTGGGTGGCTCAGTTGGTTAAGCGACTGCCTTTGGCTCAGGTTATGATCCCGGAGTCCTGGAATCGAGTCCCACATCGAGTCCCACATCGAGTCCCACATCGGGCTCCCAGCTCATCAGGGAGCCTGCTTCTCCCTCTGACCCTCTCCCCTCTCATGCTGTTTCTCTCTCTCTCTCTCTAAAAAAAAAAAAAAAAAAGTGCAATGAGCACTGAACTCTACCTCTAAAACTAATAATACACTATATGTTAATTAATTGAATTTAAATTTTAAAAAGATGTAAGAGCTTTTAAAAGCAAAGCACAAAATTTTAAAAAAAGATTTATTAGAGAAAGAGAGAGTGAGTGAGTGTGGGGCAGGGTGGGGGGGAGGAGGGAAGGATGGCAGAGAGAAACCCAAGCCGACTCCGTCCTGAGTGCAGATCCTGACAAGGTCCTCAATCCCACAGCCCATGAGATCATGACCTGAGCTGAAGTCAAGAGTCAGACACTTAACCCACTGAGCCACCCAGGTGCCCATAGAGGTCTTATTTTATAAGTCTCCTTAAAAACAGAAGAGCTAGTAGGATAGTAAGGAATTTACTTTATAAGTCTCGTGAAAAGCCAAAAAGCTGGTAGGATAGTAAGGAACTCAAAAGAGCGTGAAGCAGAGCACCGGCAACTCCAAACCCCTTTTGGATTTGATGACGTTTGATGACCCTATTCTGCTAGATCAGTGGGGAGGGAGGCTCAGTGGCAACTTCTTAGGCTAAACTAAATGTACATACTCAATACCACCAACCACCCTACTTAGCATGAGACTCGCTCAGGAGCATATGTGAGGAGTCTCAGCTTGCCAGCAAAGCACTGTTTGGTGTTCATGGGAAGAGCCCTTGCAGAAGTCCATATGCCCAGCCTGGAGCTAGGATCACTGGCACTCCCAGGTGACAGTTCAGGGGCAAGAGACTAGATCCACCTTGGTGGGTCTGAGGTCCATTTACCTCTAGTAAAAACTTCACAGGCATAGATTCCCATACTGAAAAACTGAATTTTTACTTTGGTGACAAAAAATCAAGGACCAAGGTCAACTAGAGGTGAAGAATTTAAGACCCTCCTCACATTAAATGAGGACACCAGAGGGCTATTACCTTAAGTTAAGGTAAACCAAAAGGAAATCCACTTCCAGCTTTCTGCAAACAAGATGGCCTTGGCACTAGGAGAATAGGAGTCAAAATGAAAAGTAAAAAATGACATTGAGAATTGTAGCCCTGATTACACAGACGTGAAGACTAAGTTCATATCGCCTGGGTGATCTAAGAAGGCTCTAGATGTAATCTTTTTTTTTTTTTTAAGATTTTATTTATATAGAGAGAGTGTGTGTGCATGTGCCCGCATTAGCAGGGGGAGGGGCAGAAGGAGAGGGAGAGAGAGAATCTCAAGCAGACTGTGCAGCTCAACCAGTTGAGCCACCCAGGCACCCCTTTAATCAGATTTTGTAAATTAGAAACAACACGATTTTTCCTTAAACTCCACAGTCTTAGTTTTTCAGGGACAGAGAGAATTTGTAGTGATGACATCAACTCCATGTCATTTGGCTGCTCCTGACGCTACAAGGCGAAGAGGATTTCTACCTCACTAGCCAGTGAGGACAAGAATTCTTCAGCTGTGCTCCAGAAGCATCTGAGCCCCAGCAAGGGGGCTTGCTTGCAGGGTCTGACAAAGCATGACGTGTTGCACAGGTAGCCCAGGATTCCCAAGCCTTGTAAAGGCTTTCTTTTTTTTTTTTTTTAAAGATTTTATTTATTGGGCGCCTGGGTGGCTCAGTTGGTTAAGCGACTGCCTTCGGCTCAGGTCATGATCCTGGAGTCCCGGGATCGAGTCCCGCATCGGGCTCCCTGCTCAGCGGGGGGTCTGCTTCTCCCTCTGACCCTCCCCCCTCTCGTGCTCTCTCTATCTCATTCTCTCTCTCAAATAAATAAATAAAATCTTTAAAAAAAATTTTATTTATTTATTTGACAGAGAGAGACACAGCGAGAGAGGGAACACAAGCAGGGGGAGTGGGAGAGGGAGAAGCAGGCTTCCTGCTGAGCAGGGAGCCTGATGCGATGCTCGATCCCAGGACCCTGGGATCATGACCTGAGCTGAAGGCAGACGCTTAACGGCTGAGCCATCCAGGCGCCCCGTAAAGGCTTTCATTAGTGCCCACCAGGCCTGTGCCAGTTCATCAAGTACCCTAACCAAGCACACACTCATCTTCCCTGACTTTCTGCTACCCACTAGCCCTGCCATACTCCTCTTAGCCTACTTCCATGACCCTATAAATGTCAAAAGGTGCACCAGCCTGGGGTATGGCAGAAGTTGTAGTGGGAGAGCCTTTGAGACCATATTAATGAGTATTGATAAAAGAGAGCAGAGGGGGATGGAGTTAAGACGGTGGAGGAGTTGGGGGACCCTAAGTTTGTCTTGTCCCTGGAATGCAACTAGATAGTTATCAAATCGTTCTGAACACCCGAGAAATCAATTGGAGGTCTGAGAAAACAAATACTGCAAGTCTACAGGTCGGAAAGCAACCACCTTTTGGAAGGTAAGAGATGCAGAGACTTGAACCAGGTGTGATATAGCTGAGGGGATACAGCAGTGGGGAGGGAGCCTGCCTAAGGAAGCTATGACAAAGGATTAATAAGCAGCGGAGCACAAAGTCAGAACTTTTAGAAGTCTACTACAGTGAGGGTGTGCCTGGCTTAAAGGCCCTCAGGTGGTGAAGCAGGGCAGAATCCCA